ATCCATTTGGAGGCCTCCCACTCTGCCTCTGGAACATGTTGGGGAAGACCAAAAGGGTGGAGGGAGAAATTTCCGCGTGGGCTGAGACCAAACAGGGCAGAGAAGGCACCACGCAGCAGGGAATACTTGCTCTTTCTGCTGCTGCCGCCCCTTTCAATGGAATTGCATGACAGTGGTAATTACCACCCTTCATATCATTTCAGTTTGTGCCAAGAACTGAGGCATTTGACATTCAAATTTTCTTTTTCATAATTTAAAGCCACATGAGATCCTCTTGCCATTCCTATCAACCTTAGACACATTTTCCCACTGTCAAGCTGGCTGGTGGCCTGAAGACTGTGATGAGGGAAGAAAGTGAAAGACCATGTTCAGGGACCAGAGCCTACTCTCCACTTGCCATTCAGGGTCCAGCCCCCTGTTGTGCTAGGAAAATTGTGTCCCTTTTTGCATGATTTCTGGGTGATTCTAAGCCTGGGCCCAGGCTTACCTAACATTTACAGCATTGTTATTAGGTGAACAAGCAAAAGACATGAAAGGGTTCATGGAGGCTGGGAGCCAGCAAATACCTATAATTCCTGTGACTGGGGAGACCAAGGCAGGAGGATTGCAAGTTCAAAGCCAGTCTGGGCAACTTAGTCAGATCCTGGCTTAAAAGAAAATAAAAGAGTGTGTAGCTCAGTGGTGGAGACCCTCCAGGTCCAATCCCCAGTAGAAAGAAAAGAAAAAAGGAAGCGAGGAAGGAAGGGAGGAAGGAAGGAAATGCTGTGGAGTTAAGAGCATCATTCCTATGTTTCCAGAGCACTGATTGGGTGACAAGCTACACTGAGTTTTCTATACATTAGCCTCAGAGCAACCACATAAAGTAGGTACTGGTATGCAAATACTACAGATGAGGAAGCTGAGGCCCAGAAAAGCCTAATATGTTTGTCTGCTTTGCCTAACTGTGACAAAATACCTGAGATAATTAACTTAAAAGAAGGAAAGTTTTATTTTGACTCAGAGTTTCAGAAGTTTCAGTCCACAGTTGCTTGCTCCTTTGCTTTAGGCCTATGGTGGCCCTAGTACATCACAGAAGGAGCTGGAGGGTGGGGTGGTGGCTGATCACATAATGACTGCCAGAAAGAAGCCAAACACTTCAAGGGAAGTTAGTGACCTTTTACTAGGCCTCACTTTTTTTTTTTTTTTTTTTTTTGTATTGGGGATTAAACCTAGGAGTGGTCTATCTCTGAACTACATTCCAAGCCCTTTTAAAAATATTTTATTTTGAGAAAGGGTCTCACTAAATTTCTTAGGGCCTCACTAAATTGCTGAAGCTGGCCTCAAATTTGTAACTGTCCTTCCTCAGCCTCCTGAGTCACTGGGATTACAGACATGTACCATTGCACTAGGCAAGGCCCCACTTTTTAAAGGAAGCACCACCTCCCTATAGCACCACAGGCTGGTGTCCAAGCCATTAACCTATGGACCTTCTGGGGACATTCAAGATCCAAACTGTAGCACTAAGGAACCTGCTCAGGGCCACATAGTTGGATAGTTGGGATGGAGCAAGTAGGTACAGACCCAGATACAAGTCCAAGTTCATGTCCTGCCATATAGCCATCAGCTTTGTCACCTCCTGGAACATGCTAAGTGGAGGTTAAGCACAGGTTCTTTACAGACAGGAGTGTTTAATATCAAGATATTGATATGCCCAAGATTTAGGTTTTTTTGGTTTCTTTCACTGCTATTGCTTTGTAGAACTGGGGATTAAACCTAGGGGTGCTCTACCACTGAGCTACAGTCCTCTTTTTATTTTATTTTGAGATAATGTCTTACTCAGTTGCTGGGGCTGACCTCGGATTTGCAATCCTCCTGCCTTAGCCTCCCAGGTAGCTGGAATTACAAACATTCCTCACTGTCACTGCACCTGTCTCCAAGCCAGAGGTTTAAAACATCCTTTTTAAAAAATTTTAAATGGGGGCTAGGGTTATGACTCAGTGGTAGAGCACTCGCCTAGCATGTGCGAGGCCCTGGGTTCAATCCTCACTACCACATAAAAAAAATAAAGATATTGTGTCCATCTACACTAAAAAATAAAATATTAAAAAAAATATTTAAATGTACTTTGTTTCCAAACAGGGCATTCAAGGACAATTAAGCCAACAAAATCCATTGTTAGTTCAAAGCAAGCATTTTGTGAAGTATGTTATTTTTAACTTATTCTTGGTGAAAAGGGTGTCTAATTAGCTTAATTGTTTCTGAACTCATAATGTAAATTCCAGAAAGTTGCTTGGAGAAGATTTGCCAGGAATATTGTTGGCAAGTTTCTAATGGGCTGGGACATGCTGTGGCTGCCTTGTTGTATTTTTGTATTTTTTGTTTGTTTGTTTGTTTAATTTTCTTTTTCTTTCTTTCTTTTTTTTTTTTTTTTTTTTGAGGACTGAACTCAGGAGCATTTGACACTGAGCTAGATCTCCCAACCTTTTTAATTTTTTATTTTTGAGACAGGGTCTCACAAAGTTATTAAGGGTTTCACTAAGTTGCTGAGGCTGGCCTTTAATTGAGATCCTCCTACCTCAACCTCCTGAGTCACTGGGATTACACGTGCGCACCACTGCTCCTGGTAGTAACGGTGTTTTCTAAAGGGGCTATTGGGAGGATTAATTACAGGTCACGATGCACATAAAGCATCAAGCACAGGGCTTGACATAGAGTGTCACTATCAAGAGTTCTTGGGGCCACACACAACAAATGCCAGGCATGCTGATGCCTGAGTGACACCTGTCAGGCTCCTGGCACACAGCAGGCACGTGTTCCATGAAGGAACATGAGAGTCTGGAAACAGAGCCCAGCATGCCCAACCCACCCACAGCTCCTGTGTGAAATCATTCCAGGTGAAGTCAGTAGAATGCTCAACCCCAAGTTTCTTCTCCTGAGAAGAAAATGGAAAAATCTCTTCCCCAAAGAACTTTGGTCTTTGTGTGGTACTTAATGTGGGCTGAAAAGCAAATGTCAAGACCTTCAAAGTATATATTTCACAGCAGGCAGAGCATAAATTGAGGGTCTTATGAGGCCTTTTTAAGAAGCACATTGTCACATGCCTGCAATCCCAGCTCCTTATGAGGCTGAGGTAGGAGGATCATATGAGCCCGAGATCAGCCTAGATAACACAGTCAGACACTGTCTCAAAAAAAAAAAAAAAAAGTTTGAACACTTGCATTAAAGTTCAAAGACAGACTTAAATCACTGTCAGATGATGAGGCCCAGGGAGTGCCCCAAACTTCACAGTCTGACCCCAGCTGGGCCATGCTGACTCCAGCCTGGCTCCCTGCTTTGGGATCCTTTCTTTGTCCTCATTTCCCTTCTTTGCTACTAGGTGCCATGTTGTTTTCTGTTGTGTGCACCTCCCCTCCTCCCTCAAAAAGATAAAGTACCCGGGAGGGTCTGGTCAGGACACAGGAAACCAAAATCAGGTTTCCAGCCTCTGGCCACCTACAGGGCAGTTATCTGGAATCACCTGCTGGGCACAGTCAGGGTGCAGGTGGAAACCAGAAGTCCCATCCAGCTTGGAGGGGACCAAGGAGGAGGCAGGTACATGGGGATCTGCAAAGGTGTGAACACTCAGCCTGTAGAGTGGGTTAGGGCCACAGTGGGAGGACCTGGAGTGCCCCCAGACCCCCCACACTGGAAAATGCTGGGCATGCTATCTTTCATTTTTTTCCCCTTTTTCTGGTACCAGGGATTGAACCCAGGGGCGCTTAACCACTGAGCCATACACCCAGTCCTTGAATATTTTATTTAGAGACTGGGTCTCAGTGAGTTGCTTAGGGCCTCGCTAAATTGCTGAGGCTAGCTTTGGTCTAATTTCAGAGATCACCATGCAATTAGACTAGGGCAACCCAGCCAACGGGTTCCAGTGTAAAGCCTGGGCTGAGACACGCTGGTTAGATCTTGGCGTGGTGGATAGAAATTAACCAGTATGCCCTGCACACTCCTTGCCTCAGCCTCCTGAGCCACTGGGATTACAGATGTGCGCCACCAAGCTCAGCTTGCTGGGCATGCTCTTATTTCTTGTTATTAGAACCTGTTGAAAACAGGGAGCTCCCAACTCTTATCAGTTATTCACACCTTAGTAAGGAATGTATTAGGGGAATGTGGCTGTCACGTTGGGATGGGTGCCAGAGAATGGGGTTGGATCTGGGGTAGCCACTCTTAAATGCCAGGGAAGGTGTAAGGTGTGTTACCTCCACGTTTCTGGGCCTCTACAAGATAGTTCTCTAGCATCTCCTTGCAGGCAGGTAGATCACACGCCTTGGAGCCCAGAGTTTCTTCCCATGGTGTCCTCACCTTCTAGGTCTGCGCCCTCTGCATAGCCCGCTAGGAAGCCACCACCAGAGGGCACTGTAGGCCAGCCAGGGCGGCGACTTCGCCACGCCAGAACCCGCCCCCCCTACCCCCGGGACCCTCAACCCTTAGCATGTGATCCGCGCACAAGCCCGAGTTAGTTCAAGGAGTCAGAGTTGGGGCCTTCCCCACCCATGTCTGGGACGCACTGGCAGGTGACTCCGCCTTCCAGGGTGTAGCCTGTTCAGAGCAGCATTTCCCAGCTTCACCAGGAAGCCTGGACAAAATGCAGATTTCCTGATCTTGCCAACTAACTCTCCATACTGATGCTCCTTGGGCCTCAGGAGAGCTTCCAAAATACTGGTGCCAGACCCTCCTTCAGAGATCACCATGCAATTAGACCAAGGCAACCCATCGATCGGGTTCCAGTGTATAGCCTGGGCTGAGACACACTGGTTAGATCTTGGTGTAGTGGATAGAAATTAACCAGTATGCCCTGCACACTGAATTTGAAAGGCAGTGCATTACTTCCCACTTGGACTTTGGGCAATCTATGCATTCATTCACCCAGTCCACACACTCCACTTTCATTTTTGCAGCCCCATCCTATGCTACCAGACTTTGAGTGCCCTCAAGAGTTGGCACATGGAACCATAGGGTATAATCACACCAAACCATTGATTTTCTGACTTATTTTTTTAACTGACCCGTTGGCCCTGCAACACTTCCCATGCCAGAAAAGTATTTAACCAGCTCCCCAGTTGTTGGGTCTTCTGCTTGATTCCGGTTATTCCCAATTAATCCACTCAGAGAGGTGGGCATCCTGGACAACCTCCCAGGGCCTGTAGGCAAGCTTCCTCAGTAGCTCCGGGCTGGAAAGGGGACTATAGGCTAGGCCATGGGGTAGTTGCACATTAGTTGCCCACCTGCAGCCCAGTCAGAAGGCGGGAGGAGTCCAGTGTGCAGCAGACAGGCCCACTGCCTTGAGCATGTGGGGTAGGTCACAGTAGGTGCTATTTCCTAAGCACCTACTGTGTGCTCAGCTCATGCCATGAACTTGTGAATATCACGGTCATCATCATTGTCTACAAGGCATCCTACTCATCCCCATTGCACAGTAGAGGAAATCAGGGCTCTGGGAGGTTGTCACTCACCAAGGTCAATAGGAACATATAGGATTTGAACCCCAGGCAATCAGCAAAGCTATGTTCCTGCCACTAGGTCCTGCTGTACCATGTTTCCCAGCCCAGTACAGGAAGGGTGCTTTGCTTTGCTCTTGCAGTGGAGGCTGATGTTGATGCTGCTCACATCTTCACTTGGTAAGTGTGGGGAGGGGGGAAGTGCCTGTTTCCAGGCCCCCGGAACCCAGTGAAAGTGTGGCTCAGGGCCCAGCCACGAGAGGCATTTCCTGAGGCCTCTGGGTCAGGTCTGGCACCCACCCAAAACTGGAAACAGGTCTAGAGCTGTGCAGTCTTCCAGGCAACTTGGCAGGGTCCCCGACAGCTGCTTCCCCATCCCAGGTCTCTTGAGGTGGACCCCACAGGCCTTGTCCTATCCTTTTTGCCTAGCACTACTGGACATCAGCATTGGCACTGTATGGAGGCCCCCAGAACCAGGAGCTCCACAAGGCAGCAGGAATTGATGGTTCCATTTTACAGATGAGGCCAGATGAAAGAACTGATCCAGATGACACTGTGGGTAGCAAAGTGGAACTCAAATTTCACATTCAATTCCAGGTCCCATGCTCTTCCCACTACCACCCAGTGCCTCAGACTGAGAGCACTTAATCCCCTGAGGGGCATTCCTGTTCAAAGCCCACTACAGATGGCCTCATGAGGGATCTTGGGGCCTGTGTGTGTTGTGGGGACGGGAACCCCAGGCAGCATCTCTGGATTCTCATAATCCGTGTTCCCTAGCCCAGCCCCCATCTTCCCCACCTGAAGGTCCCTCCCAAGGGGCTAAAGGTCTCTCCCAAGGGGCTGAACGTCATTTGTGGGGTTTTCATTGCTATTCTGGATGCCCAGGTGGCCCAACACAGGCATAGCAGGGGGGTAGGGAAGGGAAGTTCAGCTTCTATCCCTGCAGCCCCCTCCCCTTACCAGCCCTGGCCCAGATCCAGTCCTCTCCAGCTGTGGAAACTTGTACCTCATCCCAGAAGAATGAACTTGCTGGCAGTCAACTGCTGGGCTGCTGGGATCAGCCAATCAGGCACCGAGCAAGCCTCGCCTACCTCCAGGGACAAAGGGCCCTGCCAAAGACCTGTGCCCCAGAGAGCAGGGTGGGAGCAGTAGTGAGAAGAAGGGAGAGGCAGAGGGGAAGGCCCTGGAGAGCCAGGACAAAAATGGCTGCAGTCCATTTTGTCTCTTGGAACCAGGTTCATTCATCTGAGCAACCAGCACTCTGGAGCACACCTCTAGGCCTGGCCTAGGTACTCTGCATTTTCTTTCTTCCTTTTTTTTTTTTTTTTTTCTTTTGTACCAGGGATTGAACTCAGGGCTCTTGGCCACTGAGCCACATCCCCAGCCCTATTTTGTATTTTATTTAGAGATAGGATCTCATTGAGTTGCTGTGGGCTTTGCTCAATTGCTGAGGCTGGCTTTGAACTTGCAGTCCTCCTGCCTCAGCCTCTAAACTGCTGGGATTGTAGACATGCAACACCACACCCAGCCTCTGCATTTTCTTACCTTCCTCTCCCACCCTGCCTTCCCCTTCCCCAGGTAGGCAAGGGCTTCTGAGAAATAGAATAACATTCCCCTGTCTTTTGGCTACTCTGGGGTTTAAATCCAGGTGTACCTGAAAGCTGAGCCGTTTCCTTCCTCTTCCTGGTTCTCTTGCCTAGTCTAGGGCCAACCTCCAAGCCTTTCTTTTCTTCCTCCTATATTGGAGATTGAATTCAGGGGTCTTTATCCCCTCACACACACTGCCTATTCCTTTTTTGTAACAGGGATTGAACCCAGGAACACTTAACCACTGAGCCACATCCCCAGCCGTTTATTTATTTATTTAGTGTGTGTGTGTGTGTGTGTGTGTGTGTGTGTGTGTCTGGGGGGTTTCTGGGGATTGAACCCAGGGCCTTATGCACGAGAGGCAAAGGACTCCACCAACTGAGCTATATCCCTTGCCCCCCTTTCTTATTTTTGATTTAGAGACAGGTTTTCGCTAAATTGCTCAGGGCCTTGCCAAGTTGCTGAGGCTAGCTTTGGACCTGCAATCCTCCTGCCTCAGCCTCCCTGGTCACTGGGATTATAGGCATGTACCACTATGTCTGGCTCCACCTACCCCTTTTGAAACAGGGTCTTAGTTAAGTTATCCAGGTTGGCCTCAAACTTTGATCCTCCTGCCTCAGTCTCCTGAGTCAGTGGGATTACAGGTGTGTGCCATTACACCTGGTTAAGCCTTTTTTTTTTTTTTTTTTTAACCATTTTCTATGTTATGCTGGGGATCAGATCCAAGGCCTTGAGCATATTAGGCAAGTGCTGTACTACAGAGCTACACCCTGAGGTCTAAGCTTTTGTTCACGTTCTGGGCCTGGCCTCCATTTCTCTTCATTTCCAGACTGGCCCTCACTCTCCAGGTGGACCCACCTCCTCCCATCACCCCACAGAGACATCCGGGGCTCCTGCAGCCACCCAAAAAAGCCTCTGCTTTAGGCCCAAGGCTGAAGGGCCAGAGGAAATGCATAAATAAAAACACATTTGCATGAAGGCCCGGGGCTCTGCATCTGAAGCTAACAGTTCAGTTAACTTCTGGGATAGGGCTACCAGAAGTGAAAGCAGCTGCTACCAGCCTTCTGGGACAAACATGTCCCCGTAGCCAGGTTGGTGCCATTCAGTGTTTATTTAGATACACAAATAAAAGAACCTGGTGGTTCAAACAGCTTGTGTTTTTTTTTTTTTTTTTCCTTTTGGTCATACATATATATATATATATTAAAAAGATCAATACATTGCCAGTCCCACATGCTTTCTCTCTACTGAGCAATATATACAGCCTATTATATATATGCATATATATATAATATATATATTTTCAATAGATAACTACATTCAAGTAATGAAACACAGGATTTACAATTTCCCTCTGAGGGCAGAGGAAAAGCAAATTCACACACAGTTCACAGAGGAAGTACCATAAGAGCCCAGCCAGCAGGAGCCGAGCCCCTCTGGGGAAAAGAGGGCAGCAGCAGAAGTCATGACAATCACACTGCTGCTTACCAGGGGCAGCGGCAGGTGCAGATGAGGGTGGGCTAGCCTGCTCTGCCCAGGGGGGTGAAGGACCTGTCTGGGAGCCTCAGTTTTCCAAGAGGTGCTCAAATCTGGGGTTTACAAAGGAGAAGCCGGCGAATGCTGTCTGGTCCATGGAGTCGATGAGGTTCTTGTCACTAAAGGAGAGGCGCGGCTTCTCCTTCAGGAACTCCAAGTCGAAGTTGCTGTAGTCTCCTGGGTGCTTCTGTAAGTAGAGGGCAAGAGATGGGTGAGTGGGACCTAAAGGGTTAAGGGCTCCAGGTATCCAGGCCTGGCATCCCTGTTGGGCTGGGTCAGGCCAGACCAGTGCAGTCCTTATGCAGAACAGGAAAGGGGGCCTCTCCCAGCAGCCTGAGTGCAGCCCCCACCACAGGTGCACACTGTTTCCCTAAGGGGATGAGGAAAGCAAGCAGATAGGTCTGGGCCAGGGTAAGGACAGGTGGACATCCTCCTGAATAGGGGCCTACAAGTTATGTGTGGCCTATAGGTCAGATCTCATTGGTTGCTACTTGTTTTTGTAGGGCCCAAAAGCTAATAGCTTTTACATTTAAATTTTTTTTTTTTTCAATTGCAACGAACCTTTATTTTATTTATTTATTTAGATACAGTGCTGAGAATCATCCCCAGTGCCTCACACATGCTAGGTAAGCACTCTACCACCAAGCTATGACCCCAGCTCGGCTCTTTGTTTTTTAAAATATTTATTTGTTTTTTAGTTGTAGTTGCACACGATACCTTTATTTATATGTAGTGCTGAAGATCGAACCCAGGGCCTCGCACATGCCAGGCGAGCACTCTACCACTGAGCCACAACCCCAGCCCTCTTATATTTTTATATGGTTGAAAAAAAAAGAATAATGGTGCATGATGTGAAAATAAAATTCAAGTTTCAGTGCCCATAAAGTTAAGTTTTATGTATATGCAACTATGGCCATTTGTTGACATACAAATGTCTATGGCTACTTTGAGTCTGCAAAGCTCAACATGTTTACTATCGAGCTTTTTATAGGAAAATTTGGCAGATTTCCCACCCCTAAGAATATGAGATGATTAAAATAAAGAGGTCTCAGCTGGGGGCCCTCAGGCCAAACTGAAGTGGAAGGTACATTCATTTGGGGGTTTTTGTTGTTGTTGTTTTCATTGGGTTTTGTTTTTCTTCTTTTTTTAATGGTGCTGGGATGGAACATAGAGTCTCATATATAAAAGGACTCTACGACTGAGCTACATCTCCAGCCCCTAGCACTAGCTTTTTGATAGGATTTGAGCTAATATTTTCAAAGTGGACAATGCAACATAAAAATCCAGATTTTGGCCAGGCAGGGTGGTGTGCATCTGTAATCCCAGCAGCTTTGGAGGCTGAAGCAGGAGGATCTCAAGTTCAAAGCCAGCCTCAGCAACTTGGCGAGGCTCTAAACAATTCAGCAAGACCTTGTCTCTAAATATTTTAAAAAGGATGTGGCTCAGTGGTAAAGTGCCCCTGGGTTCAATCGCTGGTGCAAAAATGAATAAATAATTAAATAATCCAGATTTCTGGCTTCTTTTGAAAACTGGCAGATTAGTGCAGCCCTGGGACCACTTCCTATATTGTCTTTTTTTGTTGGAGGGTGGGCAGGGCTTACTGAGGATTAAACCTAGGGGCTTTCTACCACTGAGCTATATCCTTAGCCATTTTTATTTTTTTATTTTTGAGTCAAGGTCTCCCTAAGTTGCTTAGGGCCTCCCTAAATTCCTGAGGTTGGCCTCGAACTTGAGATCTTTCTACTTCAGCCTTTCGAGTTGCTGGGATCACAGGTGTGTACCACCGAGCCCAGCTCCTTATGCTATCTTATTTATTTTGCACCACAGTCCTGAGAGGTGCTACTATTTTGCTTGCTGATAAGGAAAAAGGCTCAGAAAAACTAGAGCTTTGCCAATGTGGCCAGAGAGTAGTAGGACAAGAATTGGAACCAGATCTTTATTTTTACTTGTCTAGCCTGCAAGAGTGCTTTACCACTGAGCTACACTCCCAGCCTCACAGGACAGGACCACTCTTGGATAGCAAGCTTGCCATCTCCCATGGGCAGGTGTTGCTTATCATCACATCTCCCTTATATGTTTCTCAGTGTAGAGGAAGAAATCAACCTCTATCAGCAGTGAGAGCCTGAGAGAAGGCTGTGTGCTTTCCGCAGAGCTGGGTCAGCCTGTTAGCTCTCTGCCCAGCTCAGGAGGCCTCTGAGTTTGAGATCCCTGCTACAGGAAGTGTTCTGCAGCCTCAAAGCACAGATGTAGGCCATGTTTTTGAGGATGCCCAGTGGGAACAGTAGGTCCTAGTGGAAAGGGAAAGCAAGGGAGAAAAAGAGTGGGATCTGTGATCATAGAAGGGCCACAGAGTCCCAACTTCTAAGTGGCCCCAACCTGCCTCTGCTGACAATGCTGGTCCCTAGAAGCTTCTGTAGATTGTGAGCCTGGTTCAAACCATCCTCCACTCCACTTTGAAGGCCTCCAGCTGCCTTCTGCCAGGCCTTCTCTCCCTAGACCACTCACATACCACTTCTTTCAAGGGCACCTTTCAGACCACCTCATTTCCTCTACTCAGAGCTCCTTCGACAGATCCTCCCAATAACAACTGATCATAATGGTCAGTGATATCTATCATACACATTTTTTTTTTTTTTTTTTGGTACCAGGGATTGAATCCAGGGGGCATTTAACCACTGAACCACATCCCTAGCTGTTTTTTTTTTTTTTTTTTTTTTTTTTGGTATTTTATTTAGAAACAGGGTCTCACTGAGTTGCTTAGGGCCTCACTAAGTTGCTGAGGCTGGCTCTGAACTTGTGATCTTCCTGCTTCAGCCTCCCTAAGTCACTGGGATTACAGGCCTGCGCCAATGCTCCCAGCAAGTAATTATCAGACTCTTATGTCACAGATTATCATCAGTGTGCAAGTCTTATTTGCCTCATATGGGCTCCTCCAGCTCTGAGACTGTGTCCATGGTGGTACAACCCATCCCTGTGCTCTGTACCCAGCAGGACTTAGCATTTCCAAAATTTACTGGAAATTGGGTTGGATGGATGGATAAAGAGAGAGAATGAGACCTTAACTCTGAAACTCAAAGTATAGTCCCCTGCTCACAGCAAGTGCTAAAAAATATATTAAAAGGCAGTAGGATCCACAGTCCCCAATGTTTGTTGAATGACTGAGCAAGGAGAGGGGATAAGAACAGAAGTGCAGAGGCTATGGCTAAGTGTCCCAGGAGAGAACAGGGAAGAAGGTTTGCTGGAAAAACGGACAAGAGGAGAGTGTGTTGAATGATGCAGGAAGGAGGCATGCAAAGGAGAAGGAGCCCACTAGGATGGCAGGCAGCGTAGGGATGGAATCACATACCACTTTGGGCCTGAAGGGCGGTTCCACCTTCCTCTTCTCCAGCAGAGTCCAGTTGATGGTCTTGAAGAAGGGGTGTAGTCTGATGTTTCCTGTCATTCCCAGCCTCTTGGGTGGGTCCCTTTCAAATAACTGCAACCCAGCAGGGGCCCTGGTTAGTATTCTCGGGGAAAATGGAGCTTTAGCAAATTGCCAGCAGGCCCTGGTGATGCCAAGGTGGGCCTGGCTCAGCATAGTGATGTAACCCAGGGAACTCTGGGGTAGAGGGAGGCTACTTCTGGGTGCCTGAGACAACAGGTCCTGGTCTGGAGTATCTAGGATTCTGAAGGTGGGCCTTATGAGTAAAAGCAGTGCCATTTATTGACTGTTAGTATCCTAGGTTTCTATTTACTTCCCAGTAACTCTGTGAGGTAGGTTCTCTCAACCCCTTTTTGCAGATAAGGAGACAGAATCAGAGAGGAGGGTTAAGTGACCTGCCCATGGTCACCAGCTAGTCACAGGCAGAGCCAGGGTTTGGTTCAGGTCTGTCTATATCCTGACCCTAAGCCTAGAGTCACCATGCCAGGCTGATTCCACGCATGGGACTCAGACAGGAGCTCCTGGGGACCTGGTGAGAGAGCAAGACCCCCAATATGGAATAGCAAGGCTGCTGTTCCAGAGCCAGAAAGGTGCTGCCTTCCTGCAGCCAATGTCTGCCAGGCCCGGCTCAGCCCCCACCTTCTCCAGGATGTCTTTGGACTCTTTGGTGATCCAACGGGGATAATGCGGTGTGTCCAAACGTATGGACTCGAAGAGTTCGTCCTCATCATCACCATGGAAGGGGGACTGACCAATCAGCATTTCGTAGAGGAGGACCCCAAAGGACCACCAGTCCACAGAGAATGTGTACTTCAGGCCCTGCAGGATCTGGGGGGAAGTAGTGGTCAGGGACAAGGTACCAGTGCAGACAGGACCCTGTGCATGTGCCCTGGCTAGGCCCCTTCACCCTCAGGGAGCCTTCCAGGAGCTCACCCTGCTGAGGCAAGGTATCTGACTGGACTGGGGGCGGAAAGGTATCCACTTACTTCAGGGGCGATGTAGTCTGGGGTGCCACAGAAGGTGCTGGCTAGGTTCTCCCCAAATATGTTCTCTTTGCACATCCCAAAGTCGGCAATCTTGATATGGCCATGCCGGTCCAGCATCACATTGTCCAACTTGAGGTCCCTGAAGAGGAAGGGCAGGACAGTGTGTCATCAGGGGCCAATTCCTCTCCTCCCTAAGACTTCCCACAATGAACCCATTTGGGGCCCAATAAGTCCAGGACTTTCCCAAAGAGTATAAAAGAATGAGGAAGCAAATGGGAAGCAGAAAAGGAAAGAGATGCTACATCCCAGTGCTCCTGATAAGGCACCTACTGTGCACTAAATGCTGGACACAAGAGATCCTACTCCCCGGAGCCCAAAATGAGACTCCAAAGAGGTGGTTATCACATGCGCTGGGTCATCTAGCTGGTAACAGATGTGAACTCCAGCTCAGGAACCACAACCATTTTTATGTCTTTAGTTATTTGAGTAGATAATTGATGCACAAAGAAACAAACACTAAACATTTCAAAGTTTATCTTCCACTAAGCTCCACCTTTCTCCCTGGAGCAATTCTAGGCATGGACAAGAGCACTGTGCACCTAACTGAAAAACTGAATTCTGGGCTCAGTGGTGGAGCGCTTGCTTAGCATGAGTGAGGCACTGGGTTCGATCCTCAGCACCACATAAAAATAAATAAATAAATAAATAAATAAATGGTATCATGTCCACCTACAACTAAAAATAAAATAAAACCAAATGCTAGTATTTGAAACACACAGTCCCATGGGTTGGTTTTCTATTTGACATCATAGCTGGGTGTTACCCCACATCAGTGTATAGAGCATGGCCTCTGTTTTTTCTTTTTCTTTTGTACTGGGGATTGAATACAGGGGAGCTGAACTACTGAGCCCCATCCCCAGCCCCTTTTTATATTTTATTTAGAGACAGGGTCTCACTGAGTTGCTAGGGCCTTGCTAAGTTGCTGAGGCTGTCTTCGAATTCATGATCCTCCATATCTCTGCTTTTTTGATGGGCATAGAACATTCCATCATAGGATGTGACTATAATTGATTGCACAAGAATTTATGGAACCAGTCCCCGTGGAACCAGTTCCAATGGGTGGAAGCTTAGATTGCCCAGATGGGGCTTCAGCAAGAGACTAATGGGTCCAAGAAAAAAAGACACTGTGCCTATTAATGGCACCAAGGATAGGCAGAGAGTTCCCAGGTTCTGGAGCTGTGCCAGCTTCAGCTGAGGGGCCATAAGAATTCTAGCACTGGAATGGGGGTTTAGGCAAATACCCAGCTAAAGACTCACTCCTCGCAGCAATGAAACTGTGACTAGGCCAGGCCTCTTTGAAGCAAGGATATGCTATCCCTCCCAAGAGCCCCCCACGGCCCCACCTCTGCACCTGTAAATGATCCCTTTGTGGTGTAGAAACTGCAGTCCACAGATTATCTCAGCTGCGTAAAACCTGGGCAAGAGAGACAGTGTTCCAGAATTCTTACCCACCAGTCCGCTTTTCCTTGGGCCCTCCCTCCCACCCTCAGGGGCAGGAAATGCTGTAAATAACTCATAGACAACCTGGACCTGATCAAGCACATCTTGTATCAGATCAGGCAAGCGAGGGCTGGCAGCCCAAGCACAAAATTTTGAAGGGAAAGCTCCAAATAAGCCGATTCTGTCACAGAGTACGATGTACACGATATACACATGTGGGCACACATGCATACGGTTAGTGGGGTGGGGGGCATGCAAATGGGGAAAGGGTCACCATGCTAGTCTAGGGATCACACTCCAGGATCTGGAGTTGGGCAGGACCACTATCTATGAGGCTGCTCTGGCTGAAACCCAAGAAGGGGACAGGACCTGGCATGTTTGTGCTGTTCCCTCAGCCAGAACACACTCCTCACCAGGGCTTCCCACAGCCCAGGCCATCCCCAGGGCTCCCCAGCTCCAGCTCTAGTCTGGTTGGCTTCTCCAGGGAGAGGAAAGCCAGAAATCAGGGCAAACTGGCAATGCCCTCTGAGCCAATGTCCCTGCCCCACCACAGGACTGTCTACGTACGTGGCCCGGTAGAGTTCAAAGCGACCTTTATCCTGGATGTGATACATCAGATCTCCCCCGCTGAGGAACTCCATCACAAAGAACAGGTGGTCCTGGGGTGGGGCAGAGGGTGGGAACTTTAAAGGGGGGATTGGGCTCAGTTTCACCCGGGGCATCATCCCCAGAGACTCCTGGCTTCTTCTCGAAACCCTGGTATGTCCCAACAGGCTCCGGAGATTCTGAGTCCAGCTTCTTGGAGGATCTCTGAGGAGGGGGCAGAAGCAGAGGCAGGACAGCAAGAAAGTAGAGAGAACAGGTTCTGGACTGAGGGGGGCAACTCAGCCCTGGGAGGTATGAGCAGGGAAGACATGGCCCTGCCTTAAGCGATCTAGAAGGAAGGTGAGGCCTGGCTGTCGGGGAGTCTAAGGGGGCTATGGCACTTGGGCAATGATGGGTGGAAGGCCAGGCACCTTGGTCTGAAAGGTGCAAAAGAGGTGGGTGAGGAAGGGATTCTCCCCGGCGAGCGCCAGCACTCGCTTCTCCACCATGGTGCACTCCACGTCATCATCGATCAGAACCACGTCCTTCTTGAGGGCCTTGATGGCAAAGAACTGTCCTTTGCCCTTCAGCTCTGCAAGTAGCACCTGCGAGGTGAGGGGGGGTGCAGATAATGAGCATGATGGGACTGGGCACAGGCCACCCATAGATGCCCAGCCAGAAAGAAGCCAGGGTAGTTTGGGAGGCAGGTGGCCCTGGACTCCTGAGCCCATATGTCTTGGGCTGCCCAGGGACTTACCTTCCCAAAGCTGCCTTTGCCCAGGATCTTGTGGAAAGTGAAGTTCTCAATGCGGCACCTGGAGCTTCCCTCCCAGATTTTGCCATACGTCTCACTGTTGTCTGCTTGAGAGATGGTGCCTGTAAGATCTTGGTCTGGAATAGTCCCCTTCCCTGGGATCCAGGATGGTTTAAGTAAGGAATATTGGAAGGGAAGAGGCCTGGCTCCCCAATAGGCTACACCTTTTGCTAGAACTCACTCGGTAATGGGAGGGAGGGTACACCCGTTTCTTTTCCCTGTTGGAAGGTGGGAACTTTAAGGGGGGGATTGGGCTCAGTTTCACCTGGGGCATCGTCCCCAGAGACTCCTGGCTTCTTCTCGAAACCCTGGTATATCCCAACAGGCTCCGGAGATTCAGAATCCAGCTTCTTGGAGGATCTCTGAGGAGGGGGCAGAAGCAGAGGGCCAAGCAGTCAGAACACTGTCAGAACTCCCAGACCAGAGAGAGCACTCAACCATACCTCTCCCTCAGCACCAGGGAAGACAGAAGAAGGAGGGTCCAGAACACCCCAGTGGTGTGTGCATGCACAAGTATGTCTCCCCATCCCTTTCTTACTCTCCCAGCAGCACGGGGAAGCCTCAGAGGTCAGGAAGGCACTGATCACAAAGAGAAGCTTTGTAAATTAAACTCCACCTTCCTAACAGTTACTCGATACATTTTACAACTGTCTTTTTTTCTTTTCTTGTTTTTACTGATTCTAGAATTTTCCTTTAAAGTTTTGCGGTGGCATCCTTGAGCCATACACACATAATCTTAATTCACAGTGTTCTAACCCTGCAGTTTCCCAGATTCACCCTCAGGAAAAAAAAAAACTGTCTTAATAATTGATTCATTTTCTCTCCCTTCCTTCCTAGAGATTGAACCCAAGGGTTCTTTACCACTGAGCCACATCCTCAGCCCTTAAGTTGCTTAGGGCCACACCAAGTTGCTGAGGCTGGCCCCGAATTTGCAATCCTCTTCCCTCAGGCTCCCAAGCAACTGGGATTACAGGAGTACACCACTGTGCCCAGCTCTGCTGCCTAAATTCTTGAATCAGATCTTCCAGAAGTGATTCACTGACCACTGGGGTTCCCCAAAACTGCTGCCAATTCTGACTACCCTCTGTGTCCAGGGTCCCAGAGTCCCACAGCACTTGCCCACCTGGCTGACTTGGTTCAAGGCTTCAGCTAAGAGCTTCTGGTTGATACCACAGAGGTTGGCTACCTTCTCCCGGCATTTATGGTGCACGTTCATGCCACAGTCTGGGGTGAAGAAGAAGCAGAGCCATAAGTCTTGGGGGTTCAACCAAGGGTAGGAAGGGATAGAGGAGGAAGCAGGAGAAAGGGCTTTGGTGGGGTCTGCTAGGCTTCCTGTCTTTAGGAGGGAAAATATCTGTATTTGAACATTTCAAATATTTCATGATTTAAGAAAAAAATACAGAAAAAGGAGAAGGTAGACAAGTATTCTACCCCTGAGCTACATCCCCAGGAAGGGACCTAAATGCTTTAAAGATTGTCTGGGACAACTGAGATGAATTGCTTTACTCCTTCTAGTTTTTACTCTGGGGATGAGGGGAGGTCTGGGGGACACATTTTGTCACTGAGTACCTGCTAGTGCACAGCAGATCTTGGCTAAATGCCTTCCAGACACCTGACCTTCTCGGAGAGTCTCTGGGTCCTATTCCTCCTGCCTGCGCCCCACTCCCCATTTTACACTTGAGGATCCAGCTCAGAGAGACAGAGCAATCTGTCTGGTGGTCACAAACAGGTAAATAGCAGTGCCAGTCAGGCCAGTGGGGAGAGGCCACTGAGGCTCACCCATGTGAAATTCCCAAATGAGGTGTACACAGATGGGATTCCTTTGACCTTCAGGCCCCATCTCAGGGTAAGGGGGTGAAGGCTGCATAAGATAGCTGGGGTTCTCGGGGTCCAGGTGGGCAGCACGGGGAGCTGAGTGGTACACACCTTCACATTTCAATCCCTGCTTCACCAGCCCCCACAGCAGGCTGCCACAATGGTCACAGAAGGTGGGGCTCATATAGTTGTTGACCTTGAACCGGTGCGGCATGTCAATGTTGAAGCGTTCTTTCTGGAACTGGAGGGAAGAGGGCATCACCGCTGAGCTGCCAGCTCCAGCCCCTTCCTCAATGTTTCCCTCTCCCCCAGCCCAGTGCATTCCAAGATGCCCACGAGGGCTCCACTGGGAGGCTGGGAAATCAGAGGCCCGAGGAGCTAAGGCGGAGTACAAAGAAAGACTAAGAAAAATGGAGAGGCAGGGTAAATCCCACAGGGAAGGGTGCGGAGGGCCCAGATCCCTCCCACCCACCCAAGTCCCCCAAGCCCCCAACCCCCCATTCCCTGCCCCGGCTCACGATAGTGTCCCGGCTGTTGGCGGCAGTGCCGGTGCACCGGCCAATGATCTTGTCAATACATTTCTTGTGGATGGCAGCATTGCATTCTTGAAGAGGCACAGGCCCAGGAGGAGGAGGGGAAGGAACCAGGCCGGACAGTCGTAAGCCAGCGTCTGCCAGCCTGGTCCAATCCTCTACACAAAGCCAGCCTTCTCCCTGACCTCCCACACCCTCACCCCACAGAGGCCTAGGGCCCAAGGCTCCATTTTTCCCTCCTCCCACCAGCCTATGCAGGAAGGGCCAGGAGAGGGTGGGGCAGGGGAGACAGGCCCATCTATAGAAATTAGGGAAGGCTCATGGACCTGGTAGGCAGGGGGGTGGGAAGAAGTGAGGGGGGAATGCAAACAGGGGGACGAGAGGGGCAAGAGAGCCCTCTTTCCCTCTTCTATGTCACAGGACAGCATACTGTTCCTAAGCATGCACTCTCATGTGCACTGAGACAGGCCCCAACATATACATCCAAAGCATGAGCAACCATGACAATGGACTTAGACTGAATGCTTACCCCGTGCAAGGGACTTAGAATACAGCTTTACATATTTTACCCATTGGATCTTCACACTATTAGCTCTAATTTGTGGATAAGGAAGCTAACGCAGAGAGAGGTCAAGTAACTTGCCCGAGGCCCTACAGCTAGTAGTAGATCAGCCTGTTGCTCATAACCCCAGCTGCAGAGCTCAGTGCATACAGGGAAAGGCGCACATTCAGGGAAAGGTGCGCACCTCACACACCTGTGCACCAGAGATACTCATATCCATGGGAAGCCCACAGCCAGGGGCACTAGCAAAGGCCTCAGAACCACCCTTTTGTGGGGAAAGGGCCCTGATAAGTGGTCTCGCCTGATTTTTGTGTAATACTCGACTGCAGCCTATTTTAGTCTACTGCCCTGATGTCCCAAGCACAGAGCAGGGAAGGTATGCACAGGACTGGCTTTGATGAGCTGCAGCAAGCCAGCCCTGGCGCTCACTAAACATGGCTATTACAGCTGCACACACAGTCTGACGGGAGAGTGCTGGCAGGTACATACTCACTGATGCAGAGCCCCTGTCCACACACACCACCTGGACCCGGGGACCCACGGGTAAACACACTCTCTCATGCACCAACTAGGCTGCGGAGGTACTTACGCCTGCATTTGTAGCCTTGCTTGTTGAGGCCCCTAAAAGGTAAACCAGCAGGGTGAGTGCAGGGAACGCTGGGATTGGGCACCCCCTACTCTGACCACTCCCCGCAGGTACCCAGCCCTCACCAAACAAAGTCCCTGCACACAGAACAGAAGGTGGGCTGCCTAAAGAAGGTGGCGATGAACTCATGATTTTTGATGTAGTGGATCTTGGCCTGCTTGATGGCTCCACGGCGATTCATCGTTGGAAACTTGGCCTCGTCCTCACTACGCATAGACTGCTTGCAATCTGGGGGTCACAGAGTGATGAAGTCAGCCCCAGTGTCCAGGAGGGGTAGCGCTCCTGCAGTCCCTTCTAGATTGATCCTAGATGGGACTGCTGAGGGGGCTGCTTCCCTGGGCCTTAGTGCTGGCTCTGGCCTCTGCCTGGCAGGTAAGCCCTGTCCTTAGTCCCGATGGATGGATGGTCTTACCTCCGTCCTCCAGGAAATACTGCACAGACATCAACACTTTGGCCTGGGGCTGTAGGTCCAGCTGTGGGGGTAAGAGGAGGGGCCATTAAGCTCAGTGAGGCGGGCCTGGGCCAGATCAGACTTTCAGAACCCGCCCCCATGGCTGGGGTTCCTTGGCCTCCCTGAGGCCAAGGGAGCCCCCTAAAACCTAATCAGACACCTGTCTGCCCAGTGTGGGCAGGGCCCCACCCCAAGCCCCGCCCCAGCCTGCACCCAGGGGTATTATTACATTTGGGGAAGTGAAAGGATCCAGCCCACACCCAGCCAGACCTCAGAGCCAGGGAACAGAGTGGGAAAGGAAACTCCCCACCCTCACCCGCTGCTGTCCACAGCGAGGAGCTTAGAATGGAGGCTTGCTACCCCACATGCCATGCAGAGACACAGACATACTCAGCCTACCACACCCACACTGGTTCTCTCTGGCACGGGGCTCCTCATGGACTGGACAATCTGGAGGACAGGACCTGAGTCTCTATTTCCTCACCTCCCCCAGGACCCAGACCTGGTAAGGGACATCCTCCCTTAGGGGAGTGGGGAGAGCACATAGCCAGAGGCCCCTCTGTCCCTGCTTGATTGGCCAAGGGTCAGTACAGACCCTGTGTCAGCCTCTCTCTTATCTTGACCCCTTTATTTCTCACTGGAGGCTGATCAGAGCCTCCAGTGGTCACGAGGCCTTTGCAGTGGAGAAATCTGAGTTGTAGAAGTCCATGTGTAACCCAGGGAGGTTTCTTCCAGCACCAGTACCCAGAACACGGGCACAGCTGCATGTGGCCATGTGACCACAGGCCTGCACTGAGTCCTAGTTTCGGCAGGTGAGTGAGTGGTGTCCTTGGCCTTCCCCTTGTCCCACCTCCTTTCTGCTGCCGATCAGGAGGAACCCCCCACCACGCCTGCCTAGGCCTGGTATATCTGCAAGGATTCTAAAAAGCACTGGAACAATGGGTGCCTCTGAGAAGGAGCCTGTGGCCTGGTTTTGGGGAAGGTACACACCCTTTCACAGAGTTTGAAATGTTTCACTATGTGCATATCCTGTCTTTTCAAAATTAAAAGGGAAAAAAATAGTCACAACAATGAGGGTGACTTCCTTTAGTACCCAGTATGTATCAGGTTCTTTTTTTTTTTTAGTACTGGGGGTTGAATTCAGGAGCACTTGACCACTGAGCCACATCCCTAGCCCTATTTTATATTTTATTTAGAGACGGCATCTCACTGAGTTGCTTAGCGCCTCACTTTTGCTAAGGCTGGCTTTGAACTCCCAATCCTCCTGCCTCAGCCTCCCGAGCCACTGGGATTACAGGTGTGCGCCCCCACGCCCAGCTGTGGGCCACCATGCCCAGCTATGAGTCAGGTTCTTGACATCCAGAAGCCCTTGACCATCAGATGCTCGTTTCATCTAACAACAGACCCTGAGGTAAGAACTTTAAGCAGCTTCTCCTTCACAGAAGTGGAAAGAGAGGCTCAGAGAAGCTGGGGACCTGGAGCCAGGAACTGGAGCCCGAGCTGCACTGGTAGCAGATCTGCACTGGCAGCTGGGCTCCCCCACAGCTGCCCTCAGTGGGTCCCTCACACACAAGCCCCTCACCCAGAACTCAGCCTTGCCGTTGTTCTTCTTGCAGCGTTCGGCCAGCACCGACACGCCCACGGTCACCTCCGATACTGGGTCCTCAGCTGCCCGCATCAGCACAATCTGGATGACGCGGCCCTCGTAGATGTGAGCATCAAACGTGGTCTTCCACTCAGGATACATGGTCGGCTTCTTCTGCACCAGCGTCTTCCCTCGTTCTGCAATGGGGTCAGGCAGGTAAGGTCAGTAAGGACCCTGTGTCCCACCCTCCCCAGTCTTCACCCTGCCTGCCTCTCCTGTCCCCAGGATCTGCTGTGACTCCATAGAATGCCCCAGAACACTGAACTGTCCCTAGCAGGGTCCACCTCTAGGGCTTTGCTCTTGCTATTTCCCCTCCTGTGACCCTTTTGCTCCAGCTTCACTGAAGTGTCCCCTTCCCTCAGGCATTCACTCAGTGAACCTCTGCTGAGAGTTGCCAAGTGCCAGCCACAGCACGGGAGGTGAGGAACATGGCAGAAAGAAAAGTCAAACCTGGGGCCTGTCCTCCTGGAGCCCCCGTCCAGGGCAGAGACACAAACCAAGGCATTCCTTGAGTAACCACTTAAGTCACAGCTGTGACGAAATTAAAGAAGGCAAGGCCAGTGGTTCTAAGGCCATCCATGGTCAAGTGGCCTGACCCAGCCTAAGGGTCAGGGAAGGCTTCCTGGAGGAATGGACAGTCAGCTGGGTCTTAGAGGTGAGCAGAAGCACAAGGGACTGGTAGGAAGTGTGCCTTCTCCTCCAGGAAGTCCTCCTAAGCCTAGGCCATGGTGGTGCCCTCTGTAGCTTTCCTCTCCACAGGACTCATTGCCTGGTGATATGTCCAGCTCCCCACCTAACTGTGAACCCCATGAGGGAAGGACTTGGACGGTCCAGGAGCATGACAGGGTCCTCAGATGGACACATGGAAATGGTTAGGTGGAACAACCAATAAAGTCAGAAACTCCAAGGCCTGGTGGGGTTCAATTTAGCCAAGCCTTGAGACCCTGTGGCCTCAGCTTTCCTGCTTCCATAGCTGGGCAGGGAGATAAGAACAAGGAAGATACCTTAGAGGTTCCACAGAACAAAGTAAGGCCCCTGGCCCCTCCTGCTGAGCCTCACACCGCCACCCCAGGGTCTAGGCTTCGGCCCTACCTGTGCTGAGAGCCTCCTTCATCTTCACGGCACAGAAGGGCTGGTTAGCCTCATCCTCAACCTGCAGGGAGCCCAGCTCGTAGGAGTTGAAGGCGATGCGCAGGAACGGTGCCATGGTGGGGCCTGCAGCAGGGTTGGATGTAGAGGGCTGATGAAGTCAGGCAGCACTGGGACAGCCCCAGGACATGCTCAGGTACCTACTGCCCCCGGGGCTCCCACTCCTTTGGACTTGGCCCACATGGTGTGGAAAATGCACTAGTCCTAGTTGCCAATAGTAAACATGGGGATGTTTTATGTATGTCTGGACTTGAGGCACCCCTGGTAAAACTGGAAGATGTGCCACTAGGTCAATTGGACAGTAGCCTCTGGATAGCTGCCTCTTTATCAAGTGACACCAGGCCAGGGACACTGTCTTCACTGCTCTCCAAAACCTGCACCTTGGAGGCATCTGAGTCTGTGACCTCTGAAGCATTCATTTGGGGTCACTCAGTCAGTGCCTCTGTCAGTAGCCAATCACTGGGCTCCTGCATCTCAGTGCCAACAATCATCCAGCAAGAGGAACAAGAGAGCACCTCCTCTCACTCTGCCCCTGGCAGCCCTTCTTGGCTCTGATTTTGCTCATAACTACCCAGGCAAAAAAATGGGGCCAAGTGAGCACCCCCACGGAAAAATGAAACTCTGAGGTTTAGCCACAACTAAAAGCAGGGGTTCCACTAACTTAGCACCTACTTTGTTCTAGGACTAGGGCAGTCAGAGGCTCTGCCCACATCAGTGTACTTGACCCTTCTGAACTCACCCCTTGGCGTCACATGCCTCCCGCTGCCTGCACTTTCAAAATGAAAATTTTTTTTCCCCAAATGTAAAACTGTATTTTAATTTTTTTCTTTTTTCTTTTTTTGGGTACCAGGGATTGAACCCAGGGGCACTGAACCACTGAGCCACGTGCCCAGCCCTTTCTAATATTTTATTTAGAGACAGGATCTCACTGAGTTTCTTAGGGCTTTGCTAAGTTGTTGAGGCTGACTCTGAACTCACGATTTTCCTGCCTCAGTCTCCCGAGCTGCTGGGATTACAGGCGTGCACCATGGTGCCTGGTTGTATTTTAACATTGACTGTAATGCCAGTTTCCACACTGTCCTCTTTCTTCACTATTCCTCAGTCAAGGGTCATTACAGGAGGTTGATTCTCAGGGTCCTCCTGGGTTGTTCATTTGTGGAGGACATTCATGTGGAAGGCCACAGGTGTACACTCATACTCCTATATGGACACTGGCTCTTGGCCCAGGCCCCACGTCCGGGTGCTCCATAACCATAGTTGAACGAATGCTCATTCCACCCTGAACATTACCTGCATATGTATGCGTTCATACGGCAGCTGCCCAACCCCCAAACAGCCCCCTCCAGCTCCTGCACAAGGCAGCCAGCATAGTGGCCAGGTCTGCTGGGAGCTCCCAGCCCAGATGAGCTCACAGGAAACACTGACCTCAGCCTGCAGCCCAGCCCAATGTGCCCGGCCAGTCCTCTGGGGCCAGCTGCCAGAGCAGAGCGAAGGAACCTGGTGAGACAGATCCGACCACATCCCCTGCTCTGGCTCCTATTCAGTGGGAATAAGAAGCCAAGGCCTCAAGCCTCTGGCCTGAGAGTACCAGGTCCCAGGCCAGCTGCACACAACCTCTTGGCAGGTGGGGAGGGGGAGCCAGCAGTGGCCTGCTAGGGGTTCATCCCATAGCTGGAGCACATGTGAGCATGTGTGTGTTGGGGGACGTGAGTGTACATGTGGGTGTGATGGGTATGCACAAATGTGACTTAAATAGCCAGAGAAATGCATGTGCCTGTGAGGCCATGGGAGTGGCTGGCATGTGGTAGGAGTAGTTAGTGGTAAGAGTGAAAAGAAGCTGCATGGGCCTGGCCTAGAGCCCATGTGTAGGAGTCTGGGTGTGTGTCCCAAACTCCCAGGCAAAAAGGGTATCTTTCCCCTGGGCTGCTTTGCCTAGCCCTGAGGTCCAAGGCATCAAGCATCCAGATGAATGCTGCCTGGGGTCTTAGGTGATAAGCAAGATCCCTGCACAGCACACACTGGCCACAGGCCTGCGCCTACACACTAAGAGACACAGCTCAACCTTGCCTCTCATAAGGACAACCTGGAGACAGAGCTGGGGTAGTGAGCAGCTTTCTGGGGTAGTGAGAGGATGAGGGAGGGCTGAGTGACAGGAGGGCAGAGAAAATGAAGGAAAAAGATGCTGTGGCCTTGGCTCCTGGGAGACGGGCTGAGGGCTGACCAGGTGGCAAAATCACAGTCAGTCTGGCTGGATGCGACACCCACAATATCAATGCTGCCTTGGCTGCAGGACTGTACAAGTCTCCCCTCCCCCCATCTTCCAGATGAGGAATAGTCCCTTAGTTCAAGGGTCATCATGCTGATGAGGATCAACACCAGCCTGATAGGCCCCAGAGAGGGGGTATCTCTCATCAATATCACTCCCTTGCACTTGGGAGCACCCATCCCTCATCCATGCACCTCCCTTTCCAAGCTACAAAATGCAGTCACTCCCCCAATGAAGGCTTCTGCCTGCCCACCAGCCTGGGGAGATGGTCCTGGCTCTGTCCCCATTGCTCAACAAGGAAACCAAGTCTGTAGTAACATTTGGCAACTCATCCTGGGGCGCCAGGCACTCAGCACACCTGCTGGTCAACTCCTCCTCCCTACCACCTTCCCCTGAGGCCTGGTTCTGATGGCCTGTAGGCTCCATGGCTCCCCTTGCCCCCAGTTTGGCCAGCAGGAGCTATGTGACCAGGACTATATGGAGGAGAAGAGGGCGTCAGAGAGGGTGAGGCAGAGCCAGGACTGGCCCCCTGCCCTATTCTGCGGGCTGCCCTAAACCTGCCCTCGGGCTCACAATCTGAGCAGTTGCTGCTCACAGAAGCCACTGAGGGAAAACCACAACCACAGCGGGCTGCGGCCCCAGCCCTAAAACTGTGTAGCTAGGCCACAGTGCACAAGCACAGGGGATCCATGGTCTTGGTGGGCTGCCATGGGGCTTCTCAGTAGTAACCTTAGGGCCAGAACCTGTAGCCCCAACTTGCTACGACTAAAACCAGGTCAAAAGCCTGGCCCAACGTTCCCATTCCCTCAGCCCTAAACTGGAATCTCCAGACCCCAGGAAGGAGACAGTCACCATGAGCTGGCATCTGCTTCCATTACTGTGTGATCCTGAGAGAGGTCCAGGGCCTCTCTGGGCCACAGGTGCCCCTCTGCACAATGGAGTGTGAATTACTCACCTACCTCGTGGTGTCTGAGCTGTGGCGGGAACGTGAGGGGCGAGGCAGCAGCACAGAAGCAAGGTGTGCCCACTATTTATAACCTCCATGCAAATAGGCCCAGGCCCACAGGCCCAAAAAAAGGCCACCAGCTCAGCCCCAGATTCCTCACAACTCTACAGGGCCAGAGTCGTGGCAGGAGCTGGACCCCACACAGTGTCACAGGAGGACCAGGCCTCTCTCCCCACTGGGTGGGCTCCTAGCCTCTGTTTTAGCTTCTCAAGCCCACAGCAGAGGCAGCCCTGGGAAGCAGAGAGCACTGGACTCAAGCATCAGTCTAGCGGAGTGTCAGGGCGTATACCCATAATCCCAGCAGCTCAGGAGGCTGAGGCAGGAGGATCAAGAGTTCAAAGCCAGCCTTAGCAACTTAATGCAGCCCTAAACAACTCAGCAAGATCCTGTCTCGAAAAAAAAAAAAAAAAATGGGGTTGGGGGGTTGCTGGGAATGTGGCCCAGTGGTTAAGCATCCCTGGATTTAATCCTCAGTATCAAAAAATAAAATAAAATAAAATGGGCTGGGGATGTGGTTCAGTGATTAAGCATCCTTTGGTTCAATCCCTAATTCCAAAAAAAAAAGGAGTCAGTCTAGGTGTGAATCTCAACTCCCCACTTCTAAGAAGGGTTGTCCTTTTCTGAAGCTAACAGTGTGCTGCTGGATTGGCTTTGTAACTGCATTAGCTCACTTTATCTCTATGTAGCTCCAGAAGGTGAGTATTTTACATATGAAGAAATCAAGGCTCAGAAAAGCTAACTGATTTGCCTAAGGTAACACAGCTAAAGGTTTAGACCCAGGCATGCCTAATGTTGCATCTCATGTTCTTTCCAGTATACCATTTGGGGAAGAAGAGACAAATGGAGGTAAGGGTCTAGGACCCTGTGGTCAACCAGTCTATTCAGCCCTCCCTACTCTTCATCCCCAGGCCTCCACTTGCCATAACTTGAGGAACTGGCCCTGCTCCCCACTCTGCCCTGCAACAGCCTGGAGGTAAGGAAAGGCAATAGCTAGACCAGGCCCAAGTAGGCAGGTTGCCTCCTCCAAGAGCAAACAGAAACCTGTTTTAGGCCAGTCCAGGGTAGTAGGCAAGGCCAGCCTCAAGGTGACCAGAGTGACCTTGCTGTAGGTAGACCCCAATAGAACAGTATGTGGGTTGCAATTCCACACATGCACCAGCAAAGAAACTGGGGTTCCAATAGGAACCCAGAATGCATTTTCTAACTCTTCTACATTACGGGTAACTTGTTTGAAACAACTTTGTCAAAGATAAAAAATAAAACTCACCAAGCTGAAACCAATATGCTCATCTCCTCATTGTAGAGAGGGAAACTACAGCTAAGGTCCTGCATTGAGGATCCCTCAGCTCCCAGACCCAGCTTGGTCTCTTCCCTGCCAGCCCTTCCTACCTGAACAGTTCTGCCTCACAGGGTGCAAGATGGTGCCCAATGAACAGAGAGTAAACTGGGGTTGGAACTAGAGAAGAGGCATCTTGGTTCAGCTGTTGGGAGAAGGTGTCAACAGGCTCATGAGAGAGATCAGCTGCAGCCCCTGGTGAGGAGCAGGGGATGCCCCCATGCCACCTCATGCAGCCCTCTCCCACCTACCTTGGGCCTGTCCCTGCCTTCTGTGCATGGAGGGTACCATTGCCTGTCAAGCCAGACTGGATGGCAGGTGATAGCAAAGTGAGGCCCTCCTAGGGACGAAGCCCTAGCTGTTATGTAGGCCTTGAGGGATGAATGAAAGCAGGAAGAGCAGTCAAAGGCCTGGTCAGAGTGGGGAGGGGGTTCAGAGTGAGAGGTAGTATGGCCAGCAGGCAAGAACAGAGCAGGCCCTGGCAGTTAGGAAAGGCCAAAGGCGCAGGCTCGGCAGAACAGCCTGGCCTTTCCAGACAGAACCAAATCAAGGAGGCCACAGGGTTTCACAACCCAGGAAGTGGGCTCAGCAAGAGGAACAGGAGGTGGGGGAAGAAAGGGCTAGAAACTCCCTTCCAAAGACCTCCACCAGGAATCTTGTCCCAGCCCCCATGTGCCCAGCTCTTCCTGAGAGAAGAACCACACCTGGGCTCTCAGTTCATGCCTGAGTGCCACAGCAGGGAAGGCTCCCCAACTCTGCTCCTCCCCAGGACTGGCACCTCATTTTCTGGCCAGAACTCCTCTTCCACTCTTCCTTCACCCTACACAGACCAACCACTGCCCACGAACTCTCCTCCTCAGACTCCCCAGGGCTCTGCTATTCCTCACTGCTCTCCTTCTCCGGCACACTCTCCCAGCTGTCACCATCCTGGTCCCTTTCCTAGCCAATCTTCCCACTATGTGGAACCCCCTTGGTTCCTACTGCCCTGGGACCTCAGCCCAGACCTTGGCCTGGCATTCAGGGCTCCCCACACCTTGGCTCTGCCCTGTTCAACTCCCATTCTGGCCACTCTATACCTCATTTTCAAGTCTCTATGGACTTGCACATGCCGTCCCCATAGCCAGAAGACCTTCCTGAGTCATGTGTCCTTCCAGGCAATTCAAAAGGCCAGCCTGGGGATCTTTCCCCCTTCCTCAAGATACCAGCTACTTCCCTGCTGGTGACCTATGCCAGTATCTGTGGTCAGTTGTATCTGAGGACTTGGGTTTGTGGTCTAGGGGTATCTCTGCCTCCTGGTCAGCATGCTCATCCCTGGTTACAGAGCTGACTTTCTGGGGCCATTTCAAAATCCCACTGGCAGGCCCAGCCCAGTCATCTGAAATTCAGCAGGAATCAGAGGTGGGGCCCAGGCGGCACAAGTGTACCTTTTAATTGCAAAGGGGGTCCTGTTATTATAAGAATCCAATGAAAGCCAGGAGTCCTCTTCCCAGGAAAACACACGCATGAGATGATATGACTGTGTGCACACACAGAGTTAAGAGCTGAGGCCCCCAAGGCCATATAAGCCCCACATCACCTTCAGCCCACCTCAGGCCCAGCTAGTGGGCATCACAATGACAAGACATACCAGGCTGATGGTAACTACAACCTGGTGGGGAATATCACATAAACAGTGGTTACAGAGCAGGATGACACCATACGTTGCTCAGGCAGTGAGAATAGCAAGACAGGGCAGGGGATAGAATCAGGGATGGGCTGGTTGGCAGGGAGGGAGCTTCCATCTCGGGGAAAGCAGAGGTGTTACAGTCCACTTATCCAGAGGGTTTGGAAGGCACAGAGGGGCAGGACTAAGAATGTTGAGTGTCAATTGGCTCAAACCATCTGGGCCAGGTTGAATAGGACCTCCTTAAAAGCACAGCCCACACTAGGCACAGGCCTGAAGTCTCCCAGTTGGCCCTGGGTTGGGGAGCCCTGGGTTCAGTCAGAAGGAGGGCTCTAGGCACCCTTGAGGGAGTAACAAAAGCTCCTTCATGGCAGGAGCCAGAGAGTCAGCTCCTACGAAGACAAGGGGGCCTCTGTGTGACCCTGGGTGTGGGGGAATATATGGACTTCTCCAAGAATAACGACACACATGTGCACACATGAGCACACCCACAAAACCAAACATACAGTTACAAATGGGGAACCTCCCTTGAAGTTGGACGTATAGGCACACATTTATAGCCACAGTCACATGTGACAGCTCAAAAGGTGCACACATACACACACACAGTGCTCCCCCTCCAGTAGTTTCTCAAATGTCAACATGCATCCAGGCCCACAAAGACCACACCCAGCCATACAGGATCCATGTGAATAAGCCATAACACACACACGGGGACAGGCACACTGGGCAGACACAGAGATGAATACATGAACTTGGAAGGATCCCATAAGCCTGACTAGAATCTGGTACCCAAATGCCACTGTTCCTACTATAGTCCCCCTGGGGCACAATGGCTGGAGATGGGAAGGGCATCTAGGAATCAGGCCAGGCTGGGCCTCCCCACTGAAGGAGGTCCAGAGCAAAGTCCAAAGTGTGTAAGGAAGGAGTGGGTGGATCATGCACATCCCTGTGCAGACCTGCCACCTTGCCTGAAGGGCCTGGGAGGAGTTGGGAGGGGGGGGGAGTCAGTTGAGGCTGAGGCTGGGAGGTCACAGGTGGCAGTCACAGGCTTGGCACACGAGAGCAGGGGAGGGCTGGAACATCTGCAGGTGGGGACAGCCCACATATGACCTCCATGAGCTCTAGGCTTACCATGCAGAAAATGACAGAGAGGTTAAGTAATTCAACCAAAGCCACAAAGCCAATGGGGCAGACCCAGGTGGAGGGGGAGAGAGACTCCAGTTCCAGTGCTCAAATGGCCCATCTGGCCTGCAGTGCAGCAAGGGGATGTGTTGGCAGGTGGGAACAGCTCCACTAGGTGGTCCCAACCCCACTCCTTCTTTTTTCCATAGAGTCCCCAGGACTTTCCTGATTATTTACAAGAAACAAATGTTTTTGTGTTTGGGAGAAGGTAAGGTGGCCACCTAAGCCTTTTGGTGTCTGTCAGTCCCTCTGCACTAGGTAAAGCCCAGATGATGCCCCCCGACTTCAGGGACCTCGAAAAAGCTGGGAGAGATAAGACCAACCCATGTAGCAGGCCATTCCCAGAGGGCAGGAAACAGAGGAGCTGGTGAGCATGGGCATGAGTGGGCTGGACAGACCTAGTTCAGATCCAGTGCCCTGAGAACATGGCTGAGTCTTGGGCAGGCATGCTGAGCACCAGGCCTGACACAAGAAACAGTGCCAACACCCAGAAGCTGTCACCACTGTCATCCTCACACCCTGCTCTGTCTCTGCCCATTTTCATCTATCCTCGGTCACTCAGTCATGGGGTGCCTGGCCTGTGAGAAGGGTCTGGGGTGGGCTGAGGCAGCCTACATCCATGGGCAGAGCACAGGCCTCAGCTTCCCTGTCTTAACAATGGAAACCCTCAAGATTTCTCCAGTCCTGATACTGGAGGACCCCAAGAGCCTCCTCTCACACCCCCAACCTTGGCCCTGAAGCCTATACCACACAGACATCTGATCCGACCTTGGCTTTGGTGACTGGCTGCTCGGCTGCTCTTGTTTACCCAATACAACCATAGACATGATCCAAAGCTTCCGGGGTTGTTTTGAAAACAGTGGCTCAGCCACCACAAGCCTGCCCTCCTGGCGCCTGGGCAGGGACCTTCGAGGGACAGCAGTTCCAGCAAGGACCCTCAAATTCCCCCACCAATGGCTTGCTGAGCCCTCTTCTCCTCAACCTAGGCTTTAGATTCTCAGGTCTCCACCTTTAGCCCAGACCCTTCTGGACCCAGGCTGTGGCCCCACCTGCCTCCCTAACCTCACCACGTGAATGATTCTAAAAGTGCTCAAATCTGCCCACAGCAGCCCACTGGTGTTCCCCTTCCAAGTGCTTCTCATCTGTTAGGGGCGCCCACGCTCACACAGCTGTCAGGCCAGACACCTGGGGCCAGTTTGCCTCCTCCGGGGCCTCCCCACCCAGTCCGCAATGGTGTCTGCCTCCGCAGCGAAGATCAAGACCTTCTTTTCTCCACCTCCTGCCCCATCCTGGCCACCATTGCCATCTCCAGGCTTGGTACCTGCCTGCCCACGGCTCTACCTCCCCTAGTTTGGCCCCTATGGTTCCTCTGCTCCAGCATCCAGACAGGGCTCTTAAGACTTAAGAGTACAGCAGACCTCATCACCCTTGCCTAAGCCCCTGGAGTTTCCTATTGCTCCTTGGGTAAGCTCAGACTCCTTTCCGCCAGACCTGTGGCCCTTACCTTCCTGACCCTCTTGGGAGCTGCTCTCCCCTCATTCCAGTGTCCTAGCCACAATGACCCCTTTCAGTTTTCTGATCAGACAAGTTCCTTCCTGCTGAGGAGGCTCTGGGCTTGCTATTCTGTCTTCCTGTCCGCAATGCCCCACAGTGGTTCCTTCCCATCATTCATTTCTCATAAGGATACTCCCCTATCTGCCTATTTCACAGAAATAGGAAGACTTACAGCCGTCCAGCACCTGGCTCCAGGGGACACAGCCAGGAAATATTAAACAAGGGACTGTCTGATGCTTGCAGAGGTCCTTTTCCTAAATCTGCAGGATTCCCTTGCCTTGATGGCCCAGCCCTGCAATGATCTCCAGCCCTCCAGGCTCCTGAGTCCTGCCTGCCATATCGCCATCATTAACTCTTCAACACCGGAGAGCTCAGCCTCTTGGTCCCAAAGAGTGAAAGCCAAAGCTCATCCTAGTCCTCACTGAGCTGACCTTCTGTTTGTTCCTGGGATAGGCAGGCCACCAGCTGCCATGGGTTAAGGATGGATGCATGCACCAGTGTATGGGGGGATTTGTTGCTCTCTGACCCCTCAGTCTCCTCAGTCCAAGATGACTGCCCCCTACCCCCGTCCAAAGGCTGAGGCCAGGGGTCTGAGGGTAGGTAGGCTGGCAGGAGGGCTCACCACCCACTTCCTCATTCCCAGCCAATTCTCTAAGCCCAAAGTCCTGCAGGAGCCCAGAGTGGGAGGGCTGAGAGGAGCCCTGAGGGGGCAGGCAGTTAGCTGCCTGCTTCCCTTCCCCAGCATCCTGCATCTATTTGTCACGAAATCTGTTTTCTTCTCTCTTTGAAAGGGAGTGAGGGGGAGACAGCGGGAGGGGGCTGGGCTGCTGAGTGGGCACAGCTGCTCCACCCTGGCACTCCTTCCTCAGAGGACAGGGAACCTATTGAACCAATGGAGCTCTCCCACCCCTGGTATTGCTGCCGAAGGCAGAACTGAGGGGGAAGGAGGGAGCCAGAGACCTGACTTAGTTGGGCTCCAAAGCCACCTGGCCTTGTGACACTGGGACAGTCCTCAGCCAATCAGACAATTATGGCCCATTATTAGTACCATTTGCTGTTTTCTGAATAGTTACCATGAAGCAGGCACTGAGTACTTCACATGACTGACAGAAGATGTGCCAAGCATGGTGCTGGCTACTTTGCACACATTATCTTATTTTCCATAGAACCTCGCCAGGGTAGATGATATTGCATTTGCCAGAGGGGGAAACTGAGGCACTGGGCGGCAAAGCCACTTGGCCAGGCTCATTTATACAGTTGCTTAGTGCTGCTGAATCTCCAAGAAGCAGCCTGACATCTCCGTCCCCAAGAGACTGTGCCTGTTGAAGTTGATGCCTCTGATTCTTGGCTTCCAGGCTTGGAGGGAGGGAGAAGCCAGAGTTGTGGGGGCTGCAGGGGACTTTATGGTCTCAGCACCTCATCTTTCTCCTAGAGTCTCTAACTAGGCTAAGCAGCCCTGGCAGTAGAAAGCCTGATCAGTCAGCCTAGCCCACAGGCAAGATGCTGCTCCCCTCGGAAAGCAGGGCAGGGGCGGGGCAAGCCACAGGCAGAGGGCTGGTCAGTCCCACTCTGAAACCACTTCCTGGGCAGCCCAGAGGAAGTGAGCCTCCGGAAACGCCTCGGACAGACAGTCTTCTCCCCTGGGTCTAGGCCTTGGAAAGTGGACTCTAGGAGAGAGTACCCTGCCTGCCTCCCGGACTCCTGACCCTAGCAACTCCACTGTCTCCAGACATGGACACTGGGTTGGACAGAGGGGCTGTAGGACCCCCACTGGCCCGTGAGCACCTCAGCCTTATGGCCAAACAGCCCACTTCCTCCTCTGTGGCAGCAGCCACAAACGGTACTGCAGCAGCTGACACAGCCCCTCCCCCACGCCCATGTCCCCGGTCTCCAGTACCAAGCCCTGGAGGCCTGAGTTAGATGGGCAAGACAGCTATTGACTGCCCACAGCATGGCCCACCCAACTCTAGCCTCTGGTCACAGCCACACCTGGACTCTCACTGTCACGTCAGGCCCAGGCTACATGGCTAGGCTGTTACCCTGCCTAGGGCCTCACTTCCCTACCCAGCATGGGCACAGTGCGGTATGTGTGGGCAGACATCTGAGTGCATGATGACAGAGACGAGTGTGTGTATGTGCATATTAGTGTGCCCATGGGGGTGCATGTGCAGGCACCAGGCACCTATGGCACGTGTGCCCAGTGCAGCCTGGCATTCTGTATGAACACGTGCACATCTCTGCTAGCCAGGCAGGTGATGCTTGAGAGCAGAAAGTGGGTGGCTCCAAAACTAATTGAATTCCTTAGGGAAGGAGGTTGAGTGCTGGGAGGGACTGGCTCCCCTGGCCTCAGGGGGCAGAGGCCCTTAAGCCAAAGGTACTTCACATCCTCCCTACCAGATAGGTTTTGGAGTAGGATGAATAAGCAGAAGACCATCTGTCCCCAGTGGAGTGACAGCCCTGTCCCCAGAGTCAGGCCCAGGGAGTCCAGCCTCCTCAGGTTCACTCAGTCACCCTAAACCTATAGTGCCTGACAGCCAGTAGGGTGGGAGTAGGGAACCGATCAGGGAGGACTCCTGGAGGAAAAGCCATCCTTCCCATCCCCTGCTCCTATCCCCCCAGGTTCCAGGTGCCCTCAGCACACACCCACACACCCATTCAGAACCTGGCTTACTGGGGATTTAAACACTCAGTGAGTAACACACACACCCCCCTTCCTTTGTTCGTTTGTTCCTTTCTTTCTTTTTTTAGGGGTGAGGGGATGCAGGGGATTGAACTCAGGGGCACTCGACCACTGAGCCACATCCCCAGCCCTATTTTGTATTTTATTTAGAGACAGGGTCTTACTGAGTTGCTTAGCACCTTGCTTTTGCGGAGGCTGGCTTTGAACTCCCGATCCTCCTGCATCATCAGCCTCCCGAGCTACTGGGATTACAGGTGTGTGCCTGGCTAGTTCCTTTCTTTCTTTCTTTCTTTCTCTTTCTGGGAATTAAACCCAGGGCTGTGTGCATGCTAGGCACCTGAGTTACACAGAGCTTTATGCCCCAGCCCAGAAGACTGTTTCAATTTTAATGGGGGCTGACGAAACCAAGGCTGGCCCCAAAGGGAGGGATTTCTAGCTTCCTGAGGCGCCTCGGAGACTGCAGCCTTCTTGGGCATTCCTCAGAGACACTGCCCAGCTTGCCTTGAATCTAGAGGCTGGGAATTGGGATTTAGAATCCCTCCTCAGGCCCCAGAGAGGCTGGGGAAATAGAGTGGGGGAAATGGGATATGGAAGAATATCCAGCTGTGCTGAGAGACCCCATTCCATTCCCAACCCAGCATCCAACCCACCGTGAGGCCTAGGTAAACCTCCATTTCCCTGTGTAATGGCGAGGATGATGTGACAGAGATACAAGGAGCCATGGAAAAACTGACACACCCTCCCCCAACCCTTGGCTCACATATCACTTTCTAACTGACAATAAATTGTCATCACTCCTTCCCCCAAACAACTGGTGGGCTCCAGTCCTCCAAGGCCAAAGCCTTCCCTGGGTCACAGCCAGGTTTTAGGCAGTGAGCTCCTCCTAGGCAGAGCAAATGGCTGCTTCTTCTGGGCACCCAGGCCCCAAACCACCCAATCCCACAGCAAAAAGGGAGGAGTCCAAAGAAGAGTGTTACTCCTAGCCCACTGTCCTTCTGCCTAAGAGAACGCAGTCCTACCTGGGGCTCCCAACTCCCACTTGTCCTTGGTCTGGGCTCCTGTTGCTGCTGCCACTCACCAACCACCAGGAAAAGTAGGCCCTCTGCCCTCACTGGGCCAATTCCCAGCAGACCTGCAAGAACAGGAGAAAACAGCTGAGCCGGGAAGCAAACAGGATCTCCCCATCAGCATGGCTGACACAGACCCGCTCAGTCTTGCCTGACTCTTACATCTTGGACCTCTCTGGACTTGACTTTCTCTTCTGTGAAATGGGCTGCCAGGCACAAATATTCTTGGGCATTGGCTATGTGTCCACTTCATGTTAGGGGTTGGAACACTGTGTCCCTGCCCTTGGAATATTTCCAGCCTGGTAAGGCGGTCAGCAGACACAGCAAAAAGCTGTTTCCAACCTCCTTCCACCACCACCACCACCCCCACCCCACCCCCTCTACAGGAGGTTGCCCTGCAGGTTTTGGAGTCCTAGGGTGCAACCAGGCACCACCACTTTAGGGCCTGGGGGAATTCCTCTGAGCCTACTTTTTAAATGGAGAAAACATTAATACCACAAGTACCTCTATGGTTTCAAATTTTATTGTGTCAGCTCCTATGCTAGATTCATGTTGAAACAAATGAATGGTGATTTTTTTTTTTTTTTTTTTACTCCTTGTTTGGTATTTTATGGTTCATTTGATTCTCCCATTATTTTGTGCCCATTATACAGCTGAAAACCTGAGGCCCGGAATGGCAGTGACGGCAAGGTGCACTAGATCTTTTAGCTAAAAGGCATTTCCTCTAAAAGACCAGGTCAGGTCTCCACAAGATTTTCTTCCTTCCCCAGGTATAAACTCCTCCCTACCACACAGTCCCCCATCAGCACTCCCTGGGGGCAAAGGTATCCTCAGGCTTTTTCTTTTTGTCATTACTTTAAATTATTTCTAATTTTAATTTAAATTCCAATTAGCTATGCCATCTAAATGGTGTCAGGGCCCTGCAGTTACAGCTCTGAATCACCCTTCTTCACCCTCTCCCCCCATCACTACTGCAGAGACTAGGGGCTGGCCATGAGGAGTTGGAAGGGTTTTATCATTCATTCAGGCTGAACAGGGTTGGGTCTTGGAGTTTCCAAACACATGCTCCCTCCCACAGACAGCTTGATCAAGGGGACAGGAAGGGGCAAGAGACCCACTGCAGGCAGGAAATGGGGTTGGGGACTATGGGAGATTTCGTAAATCCCAGCTTCCAAGAGAATGGGGATCACGAGCTGTGGGGTGATCTCCAAATAAGACTTAGTGTGTGCTGTGCGCTCACTCTGGGTCAAGGCTGTGCTGAGGATCAGTGACGTAGGATCTCTACTACTCACAACTTTCTCCATGCTGCAGACAAGGAAACTCAACCTCTCTTGCTCTTAATAGGTACAGTGAGTATTTGATCCCATGTCTGTCTTGGTCCAGAGCCTGAGATCTTGGTCATAACACTACAAACCCCAGAACTCGCCTATAGCTTTCTCCATTGCCCCAGGAGCCAAGGTTGGCTTTGTGCATGCACAGCGCACACCCACGACCTCATGTTCTTGCACATGGTCTCACACACGGGGGCTCTCACCTTCCCTCCCAGCACTGTCACTACATACCTTGTCACATTCCCTCCTGCACTGACACCCACACCCAGCCATCTCAGTTCCCTACAATCACAGTCACTCCCAAGCACACACCTGTAGTTTCATACAGTCAGACTGTGAGTCTGTTACCAGTCATAGGCTTCCACCATAGCCCCACACTGCCAGTGTCACCTTCAGCAAAGTCCCAGCACACACAGGAGCTCTCATAGCATTCTACAGCCAGGTATAGCCACCTAAACATATTCCCCCCACCCCCCAGCTGCCCTCTGCCGGTCTATCTACCACACCCCAGCCCAGTCCATAGCAGGAAGGAGGAAACCCAAGGGACCAGTCTCCTCCCTCTGGTCCAGGTCAGCCTGGTCGCAGTAGCTCAGTGGCAGAGGGACAAGAAGAACCAAATGTGAGTGCACACACACACATGCCACATGCACACTTATTTAGACACACTCACACATGAGCCCGGTGGGCTGGCACCCCAACACCAGGGGCTCCCACAATTAATGGATCTAATGTACTCATGGCCAGTTGGTCACCATGATATACCCAAGTGCAAAATAGGACACACACAGGGACACCCCACCACCACCACATAAGGGCAGTCTGGTGACACAGAACAAACACATCAAGATCTGGTGTGCACAGTTGCAGAGGACACACAAAGAGCTTCAGGACACACAAATAAACACATGTACATGTGTAAGGCACACACGTGAAGAAGGACACAGAATCACAGGGGCACGTCCCACAAAAAACACATAAGAAGACAGACACACAGCATACCCACAAGTCCAGATACAGGCAATGCAGCACACGGTGATAGGGTCCATGCAATAGGGTAGGGGCCAGGATCCTCCCACACTCGCACCCTAGCCAGGTTTAAATGGGGTACTTAATAGGACTCTCCCCGCCCCCACAGAGAGGGAGTTGGGGAAGTGGGAGCAGTTGTGATGGTGCTCACCTCCTCCCTCTCCAGAGCTGGCCAGCAGGGTGCCCCCATCTTCACGCCCCCTTCCCTTACCAGCCTGGGCCCCCAGGGAGGTGGCGCCTGGGTTGGGGAAGCTGGGACTTACCGTACCAGGCAAGGCCACCCGGAGAGGGGGCTCAGAGGGGCAGGGTGAGAAGGGGGATGGTGGAGACTAGAGCCACGCCCAGCCCAGAGACAGATGGAGAGACGGAGAAAGACATCAAGACTGAAAGAAGAGATAGAGAGCAGGAGGCGCCGAGCGGGTCCGCCCGGATGGGACCCAGGGGCGGGAGATGAGGCGTGGCGGGCCGTCTGGCTCCGGCTCTAAAGGAGAGGCTGCTGGACAGGCACCGGGCGGCGAGCGTGGGCCGGGGGCGCGGCTGCGAGAGGACAGGATCCAGGGGGCAGCGGGGTGAGTGGTGGGGGTGGGGCGATGGAGCACGCGGAGGGCGACTAGCAGACAGACCCGGTCTGGGGAGAGGCGGACCCGGGAACACAGAGGGAGTGAGGGCACAAGAACGGACAGAGGGCCCCAGAGAGATCAGGGAGGGACGGTCGGACCCTCGGAGCGGCCGGGGCACACAGGAAGGTAGAAGGCCAGGGAGCGATCGGACATGAGGGCCTAGGCTCCCACCGTCGAACAGAGGGACAGACGGACGGGGGCACCGAGATACCGCGGGTCTCGGCACTCGGCGGGACTTTTGCTGGTCGCAGCTCAGTTTCTCAGTTTCGGAAAAGGGAACCGGAGAGCGGAGGGGGAAGGGAGGAGCGCTGAGCCTTCGAGGTAGGTAGCCCCGATCCCGCGCCCCGCTCTCACTCACCTCCTGGCGCGAGGCCAGGCGCCAGGGGTCGCGGCGGCAGGGGTCTGGTTCCCGGAGCTGCTCCCAGGAGTGCGCTCGGACGGGGATCGGTGCAGGCCTGACCCGGACGGGTCCAGGGGCGGGTGGGGACGGCCCCGGTCTCAGCGCTGCTGCCAGATACCAGGGGTCGCTTTGGGGATCCCAAGCGGCCGCCGCCTCCTGCTTGGGCGCCGCTGCACACGGAAGTGCAAGGGGGCGGGGCGGCGCGACCTCACCCAGGTGCCGGCCTCAGCCCCGCCCTCGCTGAGGGCCCGCCCACAAGTGCCGGCCCCTCCAGGGCCCCGCCCCCGCCAGCTGGAAGCTGAGGGGTCCAGCGGGTTTGTGCCTCTCTCCGTCTGGCTTAAGTCTTCTGACCTCTCTAGCCTCCCCAGCACTGCCTCCAGCCTCCGCCCGCCAGTAGTCCACAAGCCGGCATCTGGAGGGGACCCCATTTTACAGAGGAGGAGGCTGAGGTTGATGGGGCCCCAACACACCCTGAAGCCCAAGAGGCGCCCGCGGGGGTTCCCCGGCTCCTCACGCCCACGCATGGGACTCCCCACTGGCCAGCTGGCTCTCCCAGCCTGGCCTCACTTCTTCTTTTCCTGTTGGCTGGAGTGCGGACGCAACCGGGCTCAGTGCCCGCCGCCAGGCCTGCTGGTCCAGGCCCTGCCCCAAAGACGGAGCTGGAAAGACTCCTGGGCTGGCTGTTCTAGTTGATCTGCGTCTACACTGCTCATCGGGCACTTCTGAGAGCTGCCTCTACCTCTCCCGTTCTTCTGCTGTCCTGTCCCTACCTTCCAGAGTTTCCATAGCCCTAGGCAGGCACAAGAACTCCCTTTCCAGACGTGAAAATTCGTTGTCAGCTACAACTCATTCATTCATTTTTTTTTTCACCCAGTGTACCCTGGACCTAGAACAGTTTGGGTCTAGGGAGTCAATCCCCTACTCTTAAAACTCAGAAACCCAAGCCATTATCTCATACTTAGTCCAAGAAATGGCATTTTGCAGAAGGCAAAAAAAAAACAAAACCAGGTTCTGTGCCCGTGGCCTCCTGGGGGACCACCTTGAGGGGATGAAAATAGTCTAGGCCTCTCTTCCTAGCTGAGACAGGGGCTAGAAGTGGGGGATGACCACTGAGGAGGCCTGAGTTGACTATGGGGCCTGTGGCAGAGACAGGACACAGCTAGAACCTTAGTCTTCTGCAGCAGTGGAAGGGTGGGGAAGGCTGTTTCAACGGGGCGCCCATGACAGGTTTAAGGGGGCTCCTGGGAATCAGATGAGGCAGTGGGTGGGCTGGCAGGAAGCAGGAGGCTAGGAGAGGTGGGGTAAGAAACAAAACACGAGGTTGAGGTTGGAGAAAGTGGGTGGGAAGAAGAGACCTGACTAGGTAGATTGCAGGGCTGCAGGAATTGGGGTGGGGGTTGACCATGAGACCAGGGATGGAGATGCCTGGCAAAGATGTGTTGAGGATCTGGGCTGGAGAGAGAAAACCACAATGACTCCTCCACTACAGAGGGAGGGCCCTGTATCATATACCCTGGAAGGAGGCAGAACTCTGTTTGAAAATTAATTAGTGTCAAAGTTCACAGCCTTGGTCCTCCGCTCTTCACACTAAGCTGGATCCCTCTTGCCACACTTAGAAACACTTTTGAACATAATATTTCCTGGATCATTTCCTGCCCATCCCCATATCTCTGTATTTCTTGGTTATGTCCATTCAAATGCCACTCTTCCCTGATGCCCACTTGCAATCCAGGGCATTATCTTGAACATGGGTTGGGCTGAAGGAAAAGGTGGTGTGCTGCAAGGTGAGCTTTGAGTGACCTTTGCCCACCTAGAATCAGGTTTCCTTTCTGGCTCCTTCTCTGGGTTCACAGTATCCAACCCAGCCTCTCCCTCAACATCAACAATAGCCCTACCTTGTACTAGGAACTGTAGAGGATGTCTAGACATTGGGGAGCTCCAGGTCCAGCCACCAGACCTTTGTTGCCACATGCTACCTTCCACCTTGGAAAAGGAAATGAAGAATGATGGCTATCAGTCATGGAGCTACCCTGTGCCAGCCTGTCCTAGGTGCTGGATGTGTGCAGTCTGCACAGTCCTCAAGTCTCCCATAGGTGGGGGCCACCCTCCCAGAGGGTGATGAGCAAACTGAGCCTAAGAGAATGATGAAGCTACTTGCCCAAGAATACACAGTACACAGAGGCAGAACTCAAAGCAAGGTCTTCCCAGCTTCAAAAGCCATATTTTGCATCAAGGATTCTCAATTTCGGCACTTAAAGACCTTTGGGCCACATTATTCTTTGTTCTGGGTGTTTTCCTGTGCACCCTAGGATGTTTAGCAGCATCTCTGGCCTCTATTGCTACTAGATATCAGTAGCAATCCCATGTCCCACTCCCTTCTACACATAATTTGTGACATACAAATAAATCTCCAAATGCTGCCAAATGCTTCACAGGGGCAGAACTACCCATTGTTGGAAACATCTGCTTTAGAGTTAACTAGACGAATCATTATAGGAATAACTATAAGAATAAACCAACAGGAAACACTCTCCTGGTCTTTAGGATTATGTGGGCTCATGAGTTTAGGGACTGTTACAGTTTGGATGTGAAGTGTCCCCCAAAACTTCATGTGTGAGACAATGCAAAAAGGTTTAGAGGAGAAATGATTGGATTATGAAAGCCTAACTCCAATCAATGAATTAATTCCATGATTGAATTAATTAAATGGAAATTGAAGGCAGGTAGGGGGTGGCTGGAGCAAGTGGGCATTGGGGGCTTGGCTTTAGGGTATATACCTTGTATCTGGCAAGCAGACTCTCTTTCTCTCTCTCTGGTTTCTGATCATCATATGAGCTGCTTCCCTCTGCCATACTCTTTCCACCATGATGTCCTGCCTCACCTTGAGCCCTGAGGAAAGGAGCTGGCTATCTATGGACTGAAACCATGAACCCCCAAATAAACTTTTCCTCCTCTACAATTGTTCTGGTTAGGTCTTTTAGCCACAGCAGCAAAAAGTTAACTAAAACAGAGACTTAGAACGCACATCAGCCTCAGTCTTTCTCCTCTGGAGAAGCACAAGGAACTCAAAAAGAGGCAGAGAGGCTAAGGCTGTCCTGGTCATGCTCCAGCAAGGGAAGAAGAGGGATGAAGGTCGACTTCCTTCCAGAGACAGGCCCTGGGTCCTAAGGCCCCAGGCATATGTAGGGTCCAGGGAGTGCAGGTCAAGCTTGCCTGGTGCTGCAGCATCCTGAGCTGCTTCTGGAGCCACGCTGGGTGGGCCAAGGCAGAGTCCAGATGAACTGACCCCTGTGCACACATTACCAACCCAATAAGGTCCTTCTGTGGCCTGGGAACAAACTTTGGCTGTGTCCCATGCTAACTATAACTCTGGTCAGGTGACCCCACCTTTCCCAGGCTGAGTCCTCACCTGTGGAATGGGCTGGATAAGGGTTAATGAGATGATATGTACAGAGCCTCATCCAGGGTAGACACCTGTTAAGGGTTTGCTTCACACTGGCTAGGGTTACAGGCATGGTCCTTGTGCCAGATCACAGGCTGTCAGCCTTGAAAGAGCCCTTGATGGCCTCTCATGACATGAAATGTAAATCCCCAAGTAGGGCTGGGCTCATAGCAGCCACCCAGAAGTGACGTTTTCCTCCTCCAGGTTCACTGCCAAGGAAGCAGCTAAGAGTAGAACTAGGAAGCATCCACCCAGGCTCTATGGGCCCCCTGGAGGGTTTGTCTGGAGAAGATGAAGTTGACCCCTGCCACCCTTGTCCCATCTAAAGGTTGCAAATACTATGGGCCCCCAGACTCCTCCACAGGAAGTCAAGGACTAAACCACACAACCTGGAAAAGACCTGGACCACTTTCTGTCCCAGAGGCCCACCCAGCTAAAGTTAGAACAGGGTCCCCCATTTGATGTCTGCCAAGAGTTGGTCCTTGTTTTGGACTAAGGGTCCCTGTTTCTGTCCCTTCTTGTCCCTGAAGTTTTGGCTGCTAGGTCCATCTCTATCACATCCAGAGCACTGGCCTGGCCAAGGGAGAATGGGTTCCTGTTTCTGGGGCAGGAGGTGTAGGTCAGCAGGGATAGTCCTCCTGTTGGGGGTAGGAAGGACACTCGGGGTGTGCCCATGCCCCAGGCCACCAAGACTGTCATAGACAGGGATTTCAGTCTGGAAGCAGGTGAGGGGCAAGCAAGGGCAGGCTCAGAAGGCAGTAGCCTTATGGGTATTACTACATGGCAGGGAAGTGCCAGGTCAGGAAGCTGAAGGGACCAGGTTACAGCTTGTTTCTGCCAGGGACCTAAGTCTTTACTGTGCCTGGACTTCCTCATCTGTGGAATGGAGATGATAATAGTAATGACCTCAGGTCATTGAGTGGACCAACCAGATCAAGCTTCTGAGACACAGGGAGTGAGCTCAATCTCTGTTGGTGTTAACTGCCAAACAAAGTTAGCAAGGCTGCAGGTTTCCTCAACAAGTTTGTGTTTGCATAACTTGAGAAATACCTAGTTGGGGGGGGGTGTCAAAGGAAGGTGCTTCCTGGGGAAAGCAGGACGCAGGGCTATTCTGCCATTCTCACGAGTGTGCAGCCAGCCCTAGACTGACTCAGCCCTGCTCGATCACAGCACAACCCTGGCCACCCTGAGACTCTCTTGGAGGCTCCACTGTTCCTGTCCCCCAAAGGGGCGTGGGAGTGGGAGGAGGGGCATTGGCGCTGGGGATGGTCACCAAGGACAGCTATAGAAGCAAGAGAGTCCCCAGTCGTGCTCTGTCAGGTCTCACAAGGCGGGGGCGTGCTCAGTCACACGCAGCGGGAAGGCGGGGAGGGCTGGGGTCTCACACAGGTCCCCTTGCAGGGCTTCCTTCAGGGGACTCTGTCTCTCCCTGCAGACGTTGGTTTACTGAAAGCAGCTTGGCTCGTGGGAACCGCGAGAGCAGGGCTGAGCTGAAAGGTGGCCCTCGAAATGGGGAGGGTGGAGACGTCCGCAGCCACCCCAGGGTCCCCTAACAGCCGCGCCCCACAAACACGCTCCAGTAGGCACGACTCCCGCGCACTGCCACCGACTGCCCCAGGTCCTGCCCCGCCCCGCCCCAGAGAAG